GGAATAGGTTGAATCATAGAGTACACAAGAAAGCCATCCGAAAGCATCATTTTGGCTAGGTCGTGTAGGCATGCTGGAATCAAATACGATCTCTTTTAAAATAAAGCACAAAAACAAATCCAGTCACAGATCCAAACAATGACACTACATGGTGTGACACAAGATTTACATACAATGTTTTAAAATATGCGTAAACTTCAAATAGATAGGAAAATGAAGAAAACCGCACAAGACGAAGAAAAAAAACTTAAAGACCAAGATGTGTGGATCAAAATACCCTGGATTTATGGTTAAAATTGATACATGTAGGTCAATGTATAACGTTCTCTATCATACTGACACAAGAAACTGCAGACCTAAAAACAACAACAAAAAATTCGACCAAGAAATTAAACAACGAAAAACAAACACATAATGATGCATGTTTCATGGCGATCAAACAACACAAAACACATCCTGTTTATCAGTGAGGTCCAAGGAGTCAGCTATAAAAACAGTTTGATATTTTGAAATAGCTGCATTGCTGGAGATGAAACAGGCGCCAATATTCATTGATTTCTCTTTCTTTTATACACTTAGCACAATCAAATATTTCCATAATCAGTGAACCACCTCTATGAGTTGTACCGTAAAACATACCACTTCAAATTTTAATAACTTCTTTATTTAAAGTTTAATTTTCATTACATTTTCACTGAAAAGGCATTTGGCAGTCGTTATGATATTTTTCGAAGAAAAAACACCTCGATTTTAAAGAAACGTATCTTAATTTGTGGATGACGCATGTGAATGAAGCATTCTTATTAAGTCCTAGCAGGTTCATTTTAACTACGAACTAAAATTCTGTGAAACGAAGTAGAACACAAAAAATTCTAAGAAAGAAAAGTTTCTTAATTTGTGGATGACGCATGTGAATGAAGATTTCTTATCAAGTCCTAAAAGTAACTAACAGGTTCACATTAGCTATGAACTAAAATTATGTGAATCGAAGCAGAATTAACAAAAGAAAATCCTAATTACTTGAAATGATTGAAGACCCTACCTGCAGTTTACGTATATCAGTAGCATGCAGTATATTTTTGCATCAAGGGAACAAAGTATGTTATTATGTTCCTATAGTTTACAATACAATTCTTGTTTCCCATTCTAATAAATTATTTTCTAATAAGGAGTAGTTCCCACTCTGACTATTGTTGTTGCCCTTTAGCGTGAAAAATAAATCATTGTATAGAGAGATTTGTATATTGATCTGCTTTTTCTTCCATTTCCTGTGGCAAATACTCAGCAGATTAATGTGGAAAATTACTGCTGATCAGCCAGGAACTTGTGTGTTGTGCTATTTTTGAAAGAAAAATGAATTAGAGTAAATTCAGCGGATCGATGGCAATCATGAAAAACCTAATCCTTTTTTATTTTGCGAAAACAGTACCTTTTTAGACCTTCTTTGATAGGAACCTCAACCGGCGGGAGTAAGTTGATTATACAGCATTCTCTCACTACAGCGACCTTCGTTATAGCACAGTTCCCGTTATAACACGAGTTTGGTCATGGACTCCACCGAAATTATATAATTACCTTGTAGGGTGAACTCACTATAATGCGGTATGGTCTAAGGCTCCCATCGACTGCATTACAGAGAGGGAATACAGTACATGTTCGGCATTCAACTCAACAACGTACTACACAAAATATTGCATCAAATTTGAGGAAATACGTATGCTAATAATATAAATTTAAACACTTGAGGGAGCAGCAACACTATTCTTGAAAAAGAACATGACACGCCATCTAGGCCGTGAAATTGCTAAAATTTGAATATCAGTCTACTTACTAGCATTTAAAGCAAACATACGAAAGTAACACAAAAATTATTTACATTTTATGCTTCAGTTCAATGACAAATGGTATCTAAAAGAACACATTTAAGATGGACCATTCACAAGTAGTAACTAATATTATAATAACAAAAACAAACATTTGGAAAAGTAATTTACTGCTTTGTGTTTTTATAAGAAATGAACTGGTGAGGAATGCAAGTAATCAAATGATGCAAAAAATACGTCATACATGTGAGGCTCTATAAAAAAAAATTTAAGAGCAATGCATACTGCAAAATACAGTCCGTTAAGACGGGCAAAAAACGCATTTAAATTATGATGTTATAAACACTTCCTGTAAATTATTCTAGTCTGTTTTCGTACAAAATGCACTTTAAGTATTTGCTTGTAAGTACATGGATCAACTTGCTCTATATGTATAAATTTAAATTGCAATTTCTGAACAACAGCTATAATAATAATAATAATAATAATAATAATAATAATAATAATAATAATAATAATAATAATAATAATAATAATAGATTCCATACTAAAGATGTGGTACCCAATCTCCCACTCCCCCACCCCACCCAAAAAATAAAATAAACTAAAAGAGAATGGAAGTTAGTTTTTCGTAATACTACCTTACAGATACCAGTATTGTTCATAGAAACATTTTTTTTGTAAAATCAAATTTCCTTACTTGAGAAACAAAAACAGAGTTCACAAACGTCCATGAGTGCATACGAATCTATAATAATAGCTCAACTTGTCTCTATCCAATAACGTCTATATATTTCAAAACCAACTGAAAATGCTGGTAAATAATGAAACTAAAAGTACGTTGTTAGACAAGAACAAATTTATAAGCCCATTTTGCGCGTACTACAAGCGTTATTGGGGAACAAAAATTTAATTTTTCGAGGGACCGGGTGGGGAGAGGGCAGACGGTTTTTAGAAGAAAATAAATTCGGCCTGAAAATAAGAAGTAACAATACCCATTATATTATTTGACAAAAATTATCTTGTTTGGAAAGAAATGTTAGGCCCTTCCAAAAGACAAACACAAAATTCAATAAACAAATAAAAAACATGGACGTGTGGATCACAAAGGACTCCACGAACACGTACAACAGTTTGTTTAAAAAAAGCATATGTTAGGAAACCAACGTCAGGAGGTGGGTACTTAAAGAGCCTTTTATATTAAAAAATATGAAGATAATCAACAAGGACCATAACTCTTTTTAATATGAAATAGACGACACGAAACCAATAAAAGACAGAAAATGTCATAACCTCCAGAAAAATTGGACCTGAAAAGATCAGCGTTTTAAAAGGTACATTTACATGTAAAAGACAATTCTCCTAACAAAATGATATCCAGTCATGTGTACGAGTTATGTGTGAAACTCTAAACTGTCAAACTGCATACATCGTAGCGATATGACTGAAAAATTATTAAATCTGCGTTAAAAATGTAAATCTCTCTCTCTCTCTCTCTCTCTCTCTCTCTCTCTCTCTCTCTCTCTCTCTCTCTCTCTCTCACACACACACACACACACACACACACACTTTTCCATTGACTATGTTGACTGAATTCAAATGCTGATACTGTCTTCTGTATTTGTGTGGAGTAAACACAGTAGAACATGGTTGTTTAAACCACTGCTAATTATTTAAAAACAAAGCATACCAGACATGTTTGAAGTGTTTTGATAGGTTGAAAATCTGGTTACTTAATGTAGCATCACAATGTGTGAATGGATAAATGGAGGTAGATTTAAGCACCCAGTATGCCAAGACGGCAAAACAAGGTAGATAAAGAGACTGAAGTATAAAAATGAGCTCTTACCAACTTCTTTTAAAAAAAAATAAAAGGCTTCTGCAAAATTTACTTATCCGAGTTCGAAAATGTATATTCTAACACTTCGGATTATGAGATTTGTATTGACCTTCATAGCTGCGATCACTTGGAGAAGGGGTTGACCTGCAAGAAAGGTGATATCTTGTCTTAGCATCCCTGTTTATCTGGGAGGGAATAACTATCTATAAGGAGGATTTCATCCTTGACCTACACTCCTATGGTTATTGCGAGAAGATGAACATCTGAAAGAAGGCGACATTCTTAGTTTGCGTCCCTAACGTCTCCAGCAGGGTGTCAAATGTCAGATGCATAAAACAAATGCAATTACAATGACAATTTCAAATATGTTGTAACCAAATTTTATCTTTGCAAACAATGCAGAAGAACGCATTATATCTTTTGATTTTTCATTATGAACACTGAATCACTCTGAAGGGGGTGGGTGTCAAAACGAGAAGGTTGTTAAGGTGGGTTTGGAATATATGAAGTGAATAGCAGAAACATTGGGGATATCGAGTCATCATAATTTTATTTTTATCTTTTTAAATTTTATTTACTTTTATAAAGGATTTTTACGGTTATTTAACAATTCTTTTTCTCCAATAGTTTTAATGCAGAAAAATCACATTCAATACCATTTATTTAACTGAATCAATACCAAACTATATGGGATGCTGCATAACGGAATTGAGCTAGCTGAGTTTATTACATTTACTATATCAAATTTATTAAATTGCTAACTGTAAAAGTGCATTACAATTCAGAATTATGGGACACAAACACAATTACGTTCAACTCATGAAGAACAAAATTCAAAATCAAAAGAAAATTGCTGGTAATGCAAGCTCGAGATGGCAAAAGAAAATACCATTCAACCGTAATAATTTACTTTGAGTATCTTGTCTTTATAGTACTTCCCCATGATTTGTGGTAACAAATGGTCACGTTCAGGAGAGAATGCGTGCGTGCGTGTGTGTGTGTGTGTGTGTGTGTGTGTGATTTACATTTTTAACGTAGCTTTACAATTTTTCAGTCATATCGCTACGATATATGTAGTATGACAGAGAATGCGTGCGTGTGCGTGTGATTTAAATTTTTAGCGTAGCTGTAACAATTTTTCAGTCATATCGCTACGATATCTGTAGTGTGACAGTTCATAGTGATGTCTAGAACTGGGGCACCATGCAGCAGACATGTAGCATCATGTCTCACTCAGTCACATTATCCTGACACTAGGCCGGCCAGTAATAACACTAACCTCTTAATGCTGAGCGCCAAGCGAGGCAACTGTTAGTAGAATTTGTAGGTCGTAGGTATGATTCGGCTGGGGTTCGAACCCGCGACCTCCCGCATCCGAGGCGGACGCTCTAACCATTTAGGCCACCGAACACGTTCAGGAAGGATAGTTATCCATGTAAACATTGTCAACATGGATGATTACTCCCACCCTCCACGAATCAGACAGTATAAAGAAAGCTGTGGAATATATATGATTGCAAAATAATTTGCATAAACAGGTTCACTATTTTCTGAATAAGTGAACGGATCCTTAAACGTTTCTTTACATTGTGCTATTTTGTCTATATTGTCTACGATAATTTAATTTTGACAAGAATTATATGTCTCGTTATAATACAAATTTTCTTTGGTGCCACTGAAAACCACCAAAATGACCGATCATGATCTTTTGGAAGATAGTATAGGAAATGGCATGAATCTATGAAACAAACGTTACCGATTCATCAATCTCATTTTATTTTTGTTAAATCAAACAATAATATTTAAGAAGCTATTATTGGTAGTTTTCTTTTATTAAATGTAAATTAAACTTTCCTTTGAAATGGATACATTTTTGTCCCATGTTGGTATTTGAAGTATGAGTTATAGGTCTTAAATTGAAATGATCTTTTTAATCTGTATAAACGTTTATTGTAAGAACTGGCCATGAACGTTTGGAATCTGTATTAACGTTTATTGTAAGAAATTTTTATGAACTATTCGAATCTTTATAAAAGTATATTGTAAGAACTTCTCAAACTATTCGAATCTGTATAAAAGTTTATTGTAAGAACTTTTCATGAACTATTCGATTCGAATCTGTATAAATGAATATTGTAAGAACTTTTCATGAACTATTCGAATATTTATTCAAGTATATTGTAAGAACTTCTCATGAACTATTATTCTAATCTGTATAAAAGTCTATTGTAAGAACTTCTCTTGAACTATTCGAATCTGTATACAAGTGTATTGTAAGAACTTCTCTTGAACTATTCGAATCTGTATAAAAGTCTATTGTAAGAACTTCTCATGAACTATTTGAATCCATATAAAAGTGTTGAACAACTTTAAACGAATTTTTAATCTGTATAAAAGTCTATTGTAAGAACTTCTCTTGAACTATTCGAATCTGTATAAATGTCTATTGTAAGAACTTCTCATGAACTATCTGAATCCATATAAAAGTGTTGGAACAACTTTAAATGAACTTTTTATTCTGTATAAAAGTATATTGTAAGAACTTCTCATGAACGTTTGGAATCTGTATAAAAGTCTACTGTAAGAACTTCATGCGTATTATCGAATTTGTATAAGTCTGTTGGAAGAACTTCTCATGAACGTTTGGAATCTGTATAGTCTATTAAAAGCATTTCACGTGAACATTTGGAGTATGTAGAGTCTGTTATAAAAATTTCTCATGAACCTATTGCATATACAGAGACGGTTATAAGAACTTCAGATGGACTTTTGGAATTTGTATACTCTGTTACAAGAACTTCTTATGAACTTTTGGAATCAGTATAGTCTTTTATAAAAATCTTGACGTGAACTTTTGGGATAATTATAAAAGTTTAACAAGAATTTCTCACGTGTATGTCAAACAAGTGTTAAAGTCTGTAATAAGAATTTCTAGTCAACATTTCAGATCCATAAAAAAATGTAATAAAAGCTCTGAACATCTGGAATCTGTTTAAAAGTCTGAAACATGAACTTCCTTTAACTTTTGGGACCTGTATAAAAATATGTTATAAAAAAGTTTCCGCATGAACATTTGGGACCTGTTTAAGTGTCTATTATAAGAACTTCTCATGAACATTCGGGATCTCTCTAAAACATCTGTAAGAAGAAATAGCTAATATAACTTGTGGAATCAATTTAACTGACTGCCGTAAGAATTTCCATTTAACGGTCGGGATCTGTCAAATTATTTCTTTTTACAAGTACTTCTAATGAATTTTGGTGATCCATATGCAAATCCTGCATATGGAAAATCTTTCAAAAAACTGAAATCATTTGACAAATTTCATTACTCTCATCTTAAACGGGCACATGTATAAAACTGGATGACGAAAAACACCAAGTTTATTTGACAAGGGCATACACTTGTGTAAGGAAATGACTTTGGAATACATGTAGACGACTTTTTCGGAACGTCTTTTTTGCACGGTGTTATTACAGCAATTGTGACGTCATGAAGTGTTATTAAACATTAGAAAATATATAAAAATATAATATTGTTATAGTAACGTAACAAAGAGTATTCGTGTAATGTAATAGTTTTACATAAAATTCTAAGAGAAGTTTCAATTAAGAAATTTTAATATATGTCAGTGAGATATACAAATAATGGTGACAATGTAGGTTCGAGTTCCTGCTACCTTTTCCACACCATATTAGTTATTTGGCCAGCCATGTTGGCACACAGAGTTGAAAATTACTTGGCAGCTAACTACCAGATCTACTATAAATTTAATAAATCTTAAATGATAAATTTTAATGATGTTTCATGTTTTACCTTTATTTTTATTTCATATACCTGCTTCATTACTTTGACGTCATTACTTGTATATTTTACATCTGTATAAGTCATGTTTACATTTTCGAAAGGGTTTTGTACGTTTCCTCACTACTCCATTTTTCGAACTTTACCTTTAGTTTCCAGTAATGGCCACCAAAGTGCTGATGTGCCGTTATAAGTTACTACACACGTGCTAAATGACTTGTGAACAAATTAAAGTTGAAACTGCAAAGCTCTAAACTGCCTTCAATAAGGTATCCAAGCTAACAAGGACATTTGTTGCACATAATCTTTATCATTCAACGCATAAAACATGGAAATTATCGTAACTAAGACCTGTTCATTTTTTATACTAAATTTCAAAATGAGTAACGTGAACAGCTCAATATATACTTGCCCAATGTTTAATGGTCTTCAAGACTGGCTCTACCTGGGTATGGTTCATTCTAGAGATTAGTGACCACCGGGTCTCAATGACTTTGATGTTTCGTTAAGGTATGCGGTTTTGAATTGAACTTAATGCTATTAAATCTACAGTTACCACAACATCTGATCCTTAGATCTCACAATCTACAGATTTCTTTTTAATGCCCCCAGTCCAAGTCATCCACAAAGTTTAGACTAAGAACTTCTATGTTACAATGCAAAATTACTAGTCTCATATCCACAATGATACAGACTTTGACCTGCTCACACTCCGATCATTAGGCCTCTTCTATACATTAATGGCAAGCCCCCCCCCACTATAATACATTACGCAATCAACATTTTTCTTTGACAGTCACGGTGATCTTGACATATGATGTTCTTACCCCAACAACTGTAAACTTTTTTCACGCCCCAAGTGCAAGCCATTTATATATTCGGTCCAGGTATGAACTATATAAAAGCGATATTAATGTGCTTAAACTATTTTTCTTCTTTCAGTTAGCAACCGTGATCGTTGAACTCTCACCCCCAAAAATGGCCAGTCTTCTTCCATACCTCAAATGCATGCAATCGACCAAGCTTGGTAATATATATCCGTAAGAACTCAAATTAATGTGTGAGAACCATTTTTCTTCTTTCGGGCAGTGAGTTTGTCCTTTGCGCCTTTGAGTCCATCTCCACGTCCAACTGATAGTTTTTTTCTTTATATGATGAATATATTTACAAAGCTTGGGGTCTGTTGAGGATGGAGAACTCAAGTTTCTGTTCAAACATCATTCTGCTCAGTCCCAATTACAGTAGCCAATATGTCAACCACTGACACCAACATTTATCTAATTCTTCCTCAGCTTAAGTGAGAGTTATCCGAAACGTCTCGTCCAGGTATGCAATAAATAACTAATGATATTGCGCATACAAAATTTATCTCCTTTGGGGCCAAGAAATCTAGAGAGCATAAAAAAAGGCAGCTCATACTTTCCATTAGACCTTAGACAGTCTTGCTCTAAGGGTAGTCTAAAGCTCGCTTCTTTGTCTCAAGATGGTAAGAAGAGAAAGAAAACAATCTTCAGAATAATATTCTCGAAAGAAGGTTTATTAAAAGTTTCATTGGGGTTTTATGTTCTGGACAGGGAGCCTGATACGGATTAGTGCAGAAACCTTTCCGTTAAAAATATCTTGCCAGTCCTGGTTAGACAGTCCGCCATAACATCATTTTTGTCAGGAATGTGCCCAGTGAAGGAGGTTCTCCATTCAAAGAAAAGGGGCATGTGTGCTTCTCTGTCACTTGAGGTATACTACCCTCAGCTTGTTATTGTCGGAGACCATCACACAACAATTTGTTATTTTGTCGACGCATCCCTCGAGGTCTAAACCACTGCCCTCATTTCCAAATCGAGTATGCACGGGTTTCTTTAGGCTGAACCAATCATCTTGATAACAACTGACTAACTGACTTGATAACAACTGACTAACTGACTTGATAACTGAACAACTGACTTGATAACAAATGACGCGGATTTAGTCTTAAGGACTTTATATGCCATTGTGGATAAATCAATTTTAAAAAATGCTGGAGAATAGGACTTCACAGTGACATTAAGTGGACAGCAACTATTCCAATACCCCTTGCAAAGATCTGGGCGTAGAGGCTAGACCAAACTGCAAAGAACTTCTTGTGAAGAGGACAGGTAGGGATGGGAAGGGACGAATCAAGATGGGAGGCCACCAAATCGTCGGTACCTTTGTCATTCCTGACTGTGGCTGTGGTCTCCATCTTGAACAATTCTTCTTACATATACTTGTTTAAGAAGGAAAGATGGACAATTAACCGAAACTTTCTTCTCAAGAAGGTCCAGCCTGGCAAATATTGGAACCGAAAGAATAAGAACACATTGCAGTTAAAAGAACGAGTCACTAACACCCAACCCGTTAGGAATTGAAGATGGGTCAGCAAATTGCCCCCATGGACTCTGCCTCCAGGAAACAGTACTCACATGGTTCTTACTGTGCTCAAGCAGGATCCTACATATGCCAGGAGCAGCATACATGAAGAAGTGGAGAACTTTGGGTTGAAAGTGGCTGCCAAAAAAAAAGGCTTTCATGCGAGGTTATCATAACCAGAGACTTTGCCTTTAGTTTCAATGTCTCCACTGTTGCAAAAG